GGAGGTTAGTATCCTTATCCTTCCAAGTTGTCACTGATGAAAGAATTCACTAGTAACAATTCTAGTAATATTTAAAAGTGCTTAAAGTAGCACTTCCTATTATTATTCAGCAAAAACCTCATGCTGAGAGCATATCGAAATGGAGGATTGTGAAACAGGTGGTGATGTCAACAACAACCTGTTCTGACCGGCAATAGTCACGTGCATGTCTACTTCTGCTGCTTTGATACAAATCCTGAGAGACTTCGAAAGGAATCACTACCAAAAAATTCTTGTCTATCTTTCACAACACTGCAAAATGTTTTCAAAGGAGAGGAGGAATACTCCCCACCTTGTATTTGAAGCCTGGTTATGAAATGAAAAGTGCCCCCTCTGCGTACCTGTGCAGGTAGCTCCACCAGCGCCGCAGCTGCAGCCGCCGCACCTGCCCCGCCAGGTGTGGACATGTCCTCGCTGATCTGTCGTCTCTGGCGGAAGATCTGCGCTGCCTGCCGGTTGTTGCTCTCCTGTGCAGTCGAGGCTGTGGTGGCTGCAGACTGTGGAGTCAGCCCCCCTGCTGGGGCTTGGCTACTGATCACAGAAACAAAAGACAGGAAAAAAAGTTTTCTTTATTTATTTCATAACTTTTCCCTACTTGAATTTCTCAAAGTTTGGTAAAATAATAGTGTTTTTTTTGCTGTCCAGATGAATGAAGAACTATTGCTACAAGTTAACCAGTATTTTTTATTATTTTTGTATACTTAATATACCATATTGTTTTTTTGCATTTGCATGAAGTATGATGTGATTCTTTCCTCACATGGAAGGGCGATGCCAGGTTGTTTGTCTGGTGTTATGGTCCACGTAGTACGTCCGGCCGTTTGCGTCCTGTCTCTCCTCCCAGCCCTGAGGCATGGCAGGTTGAGATGGGGAGGACGCCTGCACCTGGGGTTGTCTGGGCTCTGTATCCATGTCCACAATCTCCCAACCAGGCTACAGGCAGGACACAAGTCAGCATTAACATCATGTGTGTTTGGAGAAGTAAGTATTCAGCCAGTATACATATGCACAGGTTATCTTTTTCTTTTTGTCTATTTTCAAGTCAAAAATTGGGCAAGTAAGTGGTCAAAGGAGAATAATTGTGAATAATTTTATCAGGTTGGTAAGCGGTATGTATAACAAAGTTCTTTATTCACATTTATTTGGGATTTTACAAGCCAATTTTTCAGTAACCCATTCTGTCAGCTTCCTCAGGGCAATACCAAGTAGAGAATACTGAGTACTGCCCTAAGCATTGGCTTGTAAAATCCTTGGTTACTGGGTGTCAATAACGTCTGATTGGACATTGATAAATATTGGCACCTCATCCCTGTCCTCTTGCCCCTCTGAGCTGGGCTGCTGCTGCCCCTCTGTCCATCCTACATGTGGTACGTACGCCAACTTCAGCCGCAGGTGGCCACTCACTCGGGACTTTGTACTGAGGAAGATACACACAACTGAGATGTAATAACAGATTCAACACTTTCTATTTAACATTCCTCCTTTCCATTCCCCAAAATTACCATAATCATCATCATCATCAGTCAGCTGCAGAGTCGCAAATCACAAATATAATTCTACAATGAAAAAAGAAAATACAAGTGTAATTTTACAATGAAAAAGGGCAATATGTCTAATATTTCATCACACACATACAGGCCACCCAACTGATATTTCACCTAGTCACCCAAGCAAACCTTAAGCCCACAAAAACCCTGAGAAGTGTGCTTCCACCAGCTTTTTATAAGTTAGAACACACATCAATTTCTCCATCAAAAAGGTACAATACGTGGTGCAGGGTTGTTTGCTGCATAAAAGAATGTAACCAATTTTACAACAGGTTTTTCTTGCCTGGTTTGATATCTAAGTAGGAGAATACAACATAGCTATAAATAAAATCTGTAAAAAATTAACTTCAAATGATGTTAACATAACATGATAGAGAAGTTGATTTGTGGGCCCAAATCAAAACTTAACTCACTTGTTCTTCCCCCTATATATTTGGATCAGGTAAAAATCAGGATGAGGGAAAAAAATGTAAAATTTTAGAATGGCACATAATGTTCTCATTTCAATCAAGTTATGCCATGACTGAGTCTGTGGAAAATGTGAGGTGACACTGACTAGTAGTACTGTAGATATAACTTATTGTATGATAAAATTTGTAAAGTCATCACAGGTTCTGCAAAACACAATGGACTGATGTTAGGGTTAATGGACTGTTAGATGTTATTTATTAATACTAGTATCTACATCTATAGATATCTATCACAGCATAAAGTCTGTTATCACTTAGCATAGCAAAAACATGTAACTAAAGGTAACTGTACACAGTCAACTTACCTTCTTTGTCGGAGAAGATAATCCTTGTGGGAAAATGGCCTCTCTCTGTCAGGATATTCTGTCTGTTAAGTAACAATAAAACATGTGATCAGTCCTAGTATCATACCTATGTTACATAGTATGTATACATACTGTCATAAATGTTATACAGGTGTATACACACTGTGACAGTTCATAATCATAAAGAAACAATGTGGAAAGAAAAGAGGAAAGAAATTGAAAAGAGGGAAAGAAAAGGACTATGGAACCGGTCCAGAATAGGAAATATAAATTGCTACTTACAGGGATTTGATTATTGAGTGGCAAGTCCACCTGTCCGAGGAAATCATCTCTTGTCTGAAACATCACAACAGATGAAATTAAGTAATATATTGACAAGATGTAAAGAGCTGCAACAATACATGTACTTCATTTACAATAGTTTATTGACTTCATTCTCAAAACCTCAGATCCTCATCAGAATTTAGCTATTTACAATTTAGATCATGTTTTATAGACTTCAACTGGTTAGAAAGAAACAAGTTAATGTAAAATGAATGTACAGTAAATGTAGATGAGCAAAACTAGAAAAAAATATACAAGGTCAAGGTTCTGCAGGTTGCTTACCACTCTATTCTCGTCAAACACCTCAAACAGCAGACGACACCTTGGATCAACCTGTACAATGATAAATGAAAGTCACAATCAAAGTGCCCTCTAATACTAGTTATTTGGCACATAATGATCTTGCTGTTTACTTTACTAAGTTGCATATCAGTCAAGTTGACCTCAACCAAACTGTTGATTTTTTAAATGTTGTGAAAAGGAAGAACATGGAAAACTCAAAAACCTTGATTGCATAAAATAAAAGCAATTCTTCATAATTTTTTGTATAAATCTAGCACTGTTGACATCAAATACCTTACATTATATATACACCTGATAGGAAACATATCTCATCGGCACATACTAGGCAAACAATAGCCAAAACGAAACGTGACAAACCCAAGGCTACAGGCATACTTGAGATCAGTTAATTAGATTAACCAAATGTAATTCATATTGCTGTCATATGGCAGTACCCTCTAGACTTTTCCAATTACACAATCAAACAGTAACAGCATTCATAAAAAAAAATACTAACTTAGTATATTTTCTAGCTGGCTAAGGTATTCATTATTATTTTCTTGTTTTTGTAGAGATGTATTATTTATGTTAGATCTAAAATCATTTCTTCCTTTAAGCTTAGAATAGAACAGAAAATCTATGAGCTTAAAAGCTTTGCTACTGAAAACAGTGTTCCAAATAGATCCAGTATCCAAACCCTGAAGTCCATGCGATTTGCTTAATATGGTATCATGTGAGCATAGACAATTACACACCAGAAAAAATCATGCACAACATAGCACATGCATATTACATCTATGTAAAAACAAAAACACAACTTCACAAGAGTGCCACTGATAATAGTCATGTAACGCATGCCCTGCTTTAACAGTGCCTTACCACAACTTGCTGAATATTACCACTCATGTGAAAATGCCTGCAGGCATCATTTCCTTTTAGGGGCAATCTTTGGCTGATTTAAAATTAAGGCTACAATTTGTTCGCCACACTGAGCACTTTGCGTAGAGAACAACACTTCCTGTATGCTGCATGCGGCTTGTGACAGCCTCTGCTTCCCCTTATTTGCCTAACATGGGGCAGCATGTATAAAGGTGACGTTTTGTCCCGGGGGCTAAGGTGGATTTTGGACATAGTTAAAATAACCCTGGCATTAATATCAGCCCTCGGCAGTGCCAGATTACTTCCTGTACTGGAGAATACATGCGCAATGCTCTTCACGAGATTGAGGACTAGGTGGTTCATAAAACATTATGATTTATCCCTAACTGAAAAGAAAACTGCCTTTAGGACAAGTTAATAATAGTCCATAGGGTCTAAATTGTGTGAAAATCAATCATCAATTTGAATTATGTATCAAATTTGTATCTCAGTAGGTCAGTAATGTATTTGGCAGATATCCTTATAATTCTATAAGTTGTACAGTAACTAAATTGCCCAACCTTTTACAAAACCCCTTAACTACGACAGATGGTTCTTGTCAGTAGCAATATGTCCATATATCAAGACTAGAATGTACTATTGACCTCTTCATTCTACTAATTGATGCATTCATCACTAAAATATAAGATCCATAAATTTTCACCTCTGATCTCTCTATTAAAATAAAACATTTTAGCTATTGTTAATCATAAAATAGGCTAAATTGGAACATTATTGATTATAAAGCCAAAGGTTTAAATTATACATTATAATCTTAGTGAAGTCTTTTGTAAGCATCTTTAAAAAAGTTTTCTCCCATCTTGAGAGGACTATCATCCTTTTCATGTTTTATCATGAGTTCCCAATAATGCATAAACATAACAAACAGTAAAGTCCAAGAGAACAATTCAACAAACAAGGAACACCTTTTTACAACCACTAATCCTGTAGAATTGGAGACCGGCCAAAAGTGATGTCATTGAAGGGTCATGTAAGAGCACAGACATGAATATCCAATTGCTTTACAAACAACAGAGACAGGCCACAAGGATTTAACGTCTGTGCAACCTTAGGGTACAGGAGTTTTCTTTCCAAGAAATATGTGTGGGTGATATGAAAATGACTTGGGCAAATGTTTGATTTAGCTTTCCCCCAGCCTAAATTGTCTGTTGGAGGATGCCCTATGGCTGCTCTTAATCAGACTCACCTCATGCAGAAAGCTGATCAAAAGATAAGCCATTAGGGTTTGCATCAAAAAGGTATTTTCATCACTTCACATTCATCAATTATACATAAAATGTATACCGGGTAGTCATCTTTAGAAAATATTCTATTTTATTCTTCCAAATACATATTCGTTCATCTCAGGTCCACAGGAATAAGTTAATACGTATTCCCCCTACTAGTATCTCTACAAGTACAACACATTCACATACAAACTGGCCACATTTTGTACAGACCCGATCAACCACAGGCCATCTATGTTAGAGGAAGGCTACGTACGCTTACCCTGAAGTAAAAGTCCTCATTCCATTTTGGGTTCAGGGTCTGTTGAAGGTAAACAAGAACAAATTCAATTAATCATAAGCTTACATGGAATAGCCAAAACATTTTACTCTAATTCTTAATTATCAGGTATGAAATAGGCATGAAAATCTCATTGATTTCGGTAGTGATGTGAACATGAATCTGTCCAAAAGTAGATATATACAGCAACAATAAATGCCTCCAACCCTGAGGCATCATCAAAAACAACGACACACTTACTGTCTTCAAAACACCTGTCATCATGATCATGCAAGTCACAGCATCAAGTCAGCAACAGGAATATCCCAAGGTAATCAGGAAATACAGTCCATTCAAACTCAATCTCTTGCATATTTTGTCAAGACTCATGCAGGAAATTTGGGTCAAGAAATGACAAGTTGGCAATAGGGCCAAAACTTTGCCTGCTTACCTTCTTGATGGTTCTAGTCTGAACCATAACCACCTCCCCTTCCGCCGGATCGTTGCCTTGGTACACATGAACTCGTACATACGGATCACTGCACCAGAGGGAAAGTCAACGTTATTATTAACAATTCATTGGAAATTCTTAACATGTATTTCTATAAACAATCACTGTTACAATGATCACTACTAGATTATTACTGAAATGCATGTAACCAAAATAAACAATACATAACATAGACAACAAGTTTTAAATACTGCTGTGTACAAGCATATTTTACATTTCATTTCATGTATGACAACTATATACTGGATTTCCTTTCTAAAACATTGTTGGGCGTCAGAAGGTGCAGGTGTTCAGTGTAGGAACTATAAATATCTCAAGAACCATGAATGTTCAATTTCGATTCAGTTTATGCAAATCATACAATAACGTATCATACTAGTACTTGTAAGACGTTTCCGTGTCTGTACCGGGACGTCATATGTGATTACCCTGTCCTCTTTTGTATGCATGGGGTGCCAAGGCCCTTAAAAATATTATATCTGGTCCACGCCCCTCCTCCAGACCCCCTCCCCACGATCAAATACCACAACAGTCAGTAAGGTATGGCCATCTTAGCGCCAATGAAACACTGCAGTGGGTTTCCTTGTAATATCTACGTTATGACACTATGTACCCTGTATTATTTTCACTGCTCCAGAAGGAACGTAACGGTAGACATTCTCACCTGGCACCGAAGATATCTTTCTTGGCGAGATTAACCCCTGCGATCACTTTGACGCGAAGCACCTTCACTGGTTGGTTCCCAATCTGGAATAATACGAGGCAAAAACATGTCAGATCACAAAAGCACTCTACCAGGACCTGCCTGAGGCATTGAGAAAGTCGCAGTACTCACCGAGGATTCAGGTAAGCCATATATAGGCTGGTTTATCACAGGTGGAGTCGCCATGTACAACTCCTTGTTGTTACCAAATTGGGAGGGAATATATCGTTTTCAACTTCGAACTACCCTTAACGGCAGCAAAACGTACCAAAAATGTAGACAGACGATACTGTACAAAAAGAAGAGAAATTTGTAAAAATAAAATATCAGTAACTGTTACGCAGACTAGTTGTATATAGAAATGAAGAAATGAATGGAAGTATTTAGACTTAAGAACTGTTTTTCAATTTTATACCATATGTCAGCTTTTATGTTTTGATGCGGTGGTAACCTGCTGCGACCCGAGAAATCCTTGGCGCTTGCGCGAGGAATGAAGGCGGAAGAAATTTGCATAATTACCGCACGTGATTCTGACTTACTGTGGACTTTACCTATCACCTATGGGACATATACAAAAGACTTGCGGGCTACATTGCGAAACATCTAACATTTCGCAACCAGGCGCGCGTGGATGTGTCATTATACTTCGTGGAAATTTCCGTACACATCGACAGTATCTGGTCCTCCCGGATGTGATATCAAACAGGACGCACGGTACCGCAATAAGTGTCACTGGGTGGGTTGATGATGATCATTGATTGAGAAAAGGTCTTTTGCCATTTATAATAAAACTTTTTATTCTTTTCCCTTTTCTACTAAACATTAGTTTGGCCATAGAGCTAAATCATATAATACTATTAAACTTAGCGGGATTCATGCACACACTGTGGAGAATGAAAATAGAGTACCGGTCGGCATAGTCTGTTGTAATCGGTAGGTGATATCGGAAAATTCCATTCGCTGTACCGGTAATGTTTTGTGACCTACGGCGGACAGTGTGATGGAAAATTACACCGCAGCCAAGGATAAAGTTGTAAATCGCGCTCAAAAGTTGACGGTGGCCTGGGGGTCATTAACCCGGCAGTGAGAGATTGTATAAACACAGGCGAACTTCGAAGTGCAAGCTGGACTGAATAAGGTGTCGGTGTCTTATATATATGAAACACAACTTTCCACTACTTTGCAGGGACCCCGCTCTTGATTGGTGAGAATCCAAGTTGTTTCAAGGGTGTCATAAAACATTATCTTGCTTTAGACGCCGGACTTATTATCAGAAGTTTCAACTGTCTTATTTTTTGCTCAGGGTGTCCAGAGCTATTGAATATGACCAACGGCAAACTATCTATTTGTCATTTGATCGATTTTCATCGTTCTTTTGGCAAAAAAAGTACGAAAGAAAACAATAATGAGATTTTTATCAAGGAGATCCGATTTTAATTTCCTTCAGGAGTAAATGATAACTAATATCAATAATGATAGTTATGCGAACTGAATTAATGCAAGATGACGATCCTGTATCTAATAGCACCAAGCCCCGTTGGGCTTATCTATGAAATAATGTACACCCAATAACATATAATGTGTATAATCCAATGTGAATCCAACAACAAGGTCGTGGGATTATGTTGATGTTCAAAAATATTAATGCGATAATAAATAATGTACAATCGTGCCAACTATTAAAAGTGCATGTAATGTACTTGACGACGCGTTCCGTATTAATCTGCCACTCTGAGGAGGATGATAGTCGATCAATGGCCAGGCATTACTAACTACACGTAACACTTATCTCTATCATGTTATGTCTATTATGTAGTTGTAGTTGAATGTCACCAATGGGGTACTTTATAGGGTCGACATCAGCAGACGGTGACAAATGTCAAATGGTGAGCTATGTACAGGCATATACAGTCGGTGTCCTGGTTAACAGGTCCATCTTGTTAGTGTGAAGGTGTCCGAAACGGATCTGTAGAAAGGGACAGGTAAAATCGTAAAGCATTACGTTAAGACGTACAGCAATAGTAATCTCCAACAGATGTAGGGATTCCGCTCATTCTCAGTCTTTCACGCGTCATTTTATCAGTGGAACATTTGTTACTACTAGTATTTCGATTTTAGGCGAAGGCGAAGAGTAAAACATGCACCACAAACACAGACGTACAAAAGCACGCGTAAAACACCGAATTCGAAACTGAGCGGAGTCCCTACATCTGCTTGGAGTTACCGTAACAGGTGGTCAGGAAAAGGGGTCGGGAGAGTGAGGGCTTCGTTGCAAGGGAAATGTGACGTCACCACTAACGAGGGGTATTCCCGTGAGCTACTTTCCATACACATTTTCAATCGTCTAAATTCTACTAACATACCTCTGGACGAGTTATCGAGTGTAACGTTATGTAACCGTTAGTGTAACGTTATAGCTTACAGCCTTACACTTCATCTGAAGAAGGTGCGCGTGATGGTCCACCCCACAGTCCAACGCCTTGAGAAGTTTGAACCAGAAGAACCTCCTCATGATCGGACTGGTGCAGTCCAGCGGGTGGTAGCTCTGGAACCTGTCCGGGATCTCGCACGGGTGTAGCTTCAGGGGGATACAGCGGGTGTTGCTGCCTACGGTGGGGAGATTACAGACACGTACGTACTGAATGGCGTGTTGTGTATAGAAGACTTTCCTCCGTCCCCACCACATAACACCCCGCCCCCTCGAAAATCTGGTGTCACCGCCTGTTGTTTCTGACAGCACACATGTTGTGCCAAGATATTGACCAACTTAGGAGAGAATGATTGCTATCTCTATATACTATACAAGACTCTTCATGATCAAGTTGGTGCACAATGGGCGTGGCGGTATATGCGGTAAGGTGTAGATAAATAAAACATGCAGTGCAAAACCGTGATCGACTCAAAACAGACACCGTGACACTGTGACTTCGTTCCACCATGTGATTGCTCGGTTTTCCACGAACCTGGGCTGGTGGCCTGCGCCATGTTAGCCTCGAACTGGTTCCACTCCCCCTCCAGGTAGTCCTCTGTGAAGACCAGGATGGACTTGCGGCTTGTGTGTGCAGCCGTGGTGAGGGCGTCAGCGATCACCTCGCCAGGGAGGGAATTCCTCTCGAACACGTAAACCTGCACGAAAGCGTAACAGGAAGTAGAACATGTCACATCTCGCTTTTTATTGGACATGGAACTTCTTCTAACGCCTACGTTAAGGTTGCGAATGCCCGGGGTTGCATGACATCATGTGATACCACAGTAACTGACACGTTGGAAAACCTACGCATGGAAAACAGAATGCGTACCTTCAAGGAAAGTGGGGGATTTTCTAAGGCAGGGAGTAACACCTCTATAATCCATGGTAGTTGTTTGACATGGCAGGAGATGAACAAGTCGTACTCGTACTGGCTGCTGTCCTCGGTCTTGCTTTCGGGGGCATCTACGTACAGGATAAAAACAAACCTTTTACATGTATCTGCAATATTTACAGTTATATACATCTTCCTAAATATGTTCACATTATGTCCCCATCTAGATCTGTTGAGAGCAGCTTCCCTAATGATCAAGCGGATTCAATGTGTTCTCTATTGACTATCTCAATAAAATGTCAGTTTCGGAGACTCCCCAACCTATTCGTCAGCATAATGGTAAATGTGTCACTATTGCACATAACTAGCATTCTTGACCACCTTGGAAGTTGTGTCTAACAGTCCCAACGCATGGGAGTCCCTCAGTTTCAAAAACGATGTCTGGATGGTTAGTGATGTCAAGGCAATTTTGGGAGATATCGTGGGTCCGCTTCCTCTTATCCGTTTGGACGGAGCTTGTACTACAGATAAGACATGCACAGCTGCAGGTTTATCCGGTTTGAAATGTTGCTCAACTTCGGTTATACATACCTGTGGCTATTTCCTGTTCTGCCATACCAAATCCAGGACGGCTTGTGTACAGCATCAGTGAGCGAATGTCTTGATGACTCTTACGCTTCTGCAAGGAAGGTCCTTGATTTCTATCTGGGGACCTACAAAAGCATCTGCGAGCCACGTAAGAATAACTTACAAGTCAATATATCGTCAGCATCATATAAAAGTACTTTTCCAAATAAAGCTGATTACAAAGTTACAAACGAAACTGTATGGAAACCAACGGTAACGTGAACTTCCGCCTACACAGAGGTCACAAATAAAAGGTCACTGTGGACGTCAGTCGAGTTTCCAGGGGTTGCACTTTTAATGAAATCCGCAGGAGGCATATAGGTACCGGTCAACATCCTCTTTCTGCTTTCTGTTCTATTTGTGACAAAAATAACAACTTCGCAATCGTAGATCTCTTCAAACACTTAACCCAACTTTTCGAGAGAAAAAAACGCAAAAATACGCATAGGAATTTTGACACTATACACACAAAGTCCCGCACCCACAAATTATTTCAAGTGTCCATAGGCGACAATTCTCTGTGAAGTTTTATTTTTGCAGATTGAGAACAGTATAGTGTATGTAAACAGTGTGTGATCACTTAACAACTGGTAACAACGTGTCGTAAAAATGGCTAAAACCCTGGTCTAATAATGTAGCCTGACTAAAAATAAATCGCGCTCCTGGTGGCCACCTGCCCAGAAGTTTGCCGCCCCCCTTGGGGAAACAGTTGCAGACTGACTAGTGTAAACACAGACTACATAAAATCAACAACACGACAATCTAAAAAGATGAACAAAGTCAGTTTTCATAACAATATCTTTCATTTACTACATATTATTCATTTGACAAGGTCAGTAGATGCAAACCACAATCCCAAAAGATACTCGCAACCATTATACACAACAGCCACATTAACTACTATCATAGTGAAATATGACTGACCGCGAAGACAGCAACGGTAAAATAAAGACACGTGCACCAACACAGGCTTGCCTGCAGACGACGTATAAAATTGCATGCCGATTAAACAAAGGGAACCCAGTGTTTTGACTGCGAACACGAAAAACCGTCTACCCACAATATATTCGGAGTAAAAAATGTTGCATGAATAGGCCGCACATCACTTGTCATCAGGAGGCAGCGGATAGGCGGCGCACTCCGCCAGCCCGCACATGTTCTTGTTCCGCTCGATCCAGAAGTAGCCGTCCATGCCCCACTTGGGTCCCCAGGAATTCTTCACGATCCAGTAGGGAACACCTGTGACGAAACATGTACAACGCATTAATAAATTGACTTTTCAAAACTCAATGTTAAACGCATGTCCCTCTAGCTCTGTTGACGTTATACGAGAGTCGTTCATAAACATTTGTAACGTAACGTTCACAAAAACAACACAAGAATAGCTTATACGGTCACATCGCTGACCAACCTGACTCATCTTCGCCGTACCCCACGACCAGGACAGCGTGATTGACGTGCTCCTGGTCGTGGTGACACAGTTTGCTGGAGTACACGCCCTTCTTGTAATGCTGAAAGCCAGCAACAACTTGGTATGCGATGCTGACAGGATTCAGCGTGCCAACTGCCTGTAGGTGAAAATGAACAACTTGTTATCATGCCTCTTACAACAAGATAATACATTTGATATATCATTAAATTTATGTACGTATATGGATGTAAGAAATAGATGAATGCTACAAGAACGGTGACGTCACCTGAAGGATTCCGTCCTCGTCTCCCTGGGTGATGTTGACGACATCTCTGACGTAAGCAATCGTCTTGCTACTGTTGAATGCGCATTTACCATCCTTGCCTGTGTAAGGGTAGTCCTTTTCGCTTTCAATACCTTGGGTCCACCTGAAAAAGTGATCATGATATATATAAAATCAATGTTAACTCCTCTCAAAACAGTATTTAAAGCAAAACGCACGCACCTCGAATATGTAGCTACCTAGCGAGAAGATTACAATTAAGACCTCAGTTTAGACTGACGTATTTTCTTGATATTCCCACCACAACATTTTGCTGTCATATCCAGCTGTCCTATTTGTATATGACAGAAGAGGGTGTCCAGGCTTCCACGTAGCCACCAGACATTTTGTGGGAATACTAGTCATTTCAGCACTCACTTGACGTACTCCCAGGCTTGTGACGGAAGGCCTCCCTCACAGCCGTGGTTGTTGAAGCCCTGCGCACAGCCGATCAGCTGCTGCTCAGAGAGATTCATGGCGGCACCAAACGTGATGGCAGTTACCGACTCCAGACAACCTGAGAAAAGTATCAGAGCAGCAAGGATTTGAATTATTTTTCGCCTTGAATGGTTATGATGCAAGATAGGGAAATCTTTCCTACTGAAACTTAACTTTTGTAAGATATTTTTTTATATCTTGCGCGCATGCGTTCCAATTCTACCAATAGGTATATGTACCTTACGCCAATACAAAAATACATTTGTGATAATCAAACGCCAAAGTCAAGAGTTGATTATCACACCAAGAGCGCCCTTCCCAGGTTATTTTATTGCGCATCCTGTTTCACCCACCTGTTGCAGAGAACGACCAGCAGGACCCGCAGTGGCCCTGGTCCTTCACTCCGGACACCACACCGGGTCTGTCCCGCCAGTCCTTCTTCGCTGGGACGGGCCCGACCCGGGACTGGACCCTCGGCTTCTTCTGTCCTGTGGCTGAGCAGTTCTGAGGTGTCGTCATCAGAATCATATCCCGAAATTCCTGGTGTGATACGGAATACGTCAGTGTCCGACACCTTTAGGAATGGTACATACACAAATTGCGTGCAGCAGCAGTGTTAGAGCACAGACAGCACATACTAAGAATATTACTTCATGTTTCAGATTTCATTTCGAGAGTAACCTTGACATTTAGCTGAAAATTGGCAAAAAGGAGCTTAAAATGCGCAGTGTTAAGTTCAATAGAAAATAAAAATTCCCATGGTAAAATTAAATAGCCCGTCTCATTTTGCAGCTGTCTATGTCACGAGACAAGGATTGAAGACGTAATAGTGACTATGTAAGGGCCAATGATGTTAAACGTTTATGTTCATGGCACGTTTCAGTACAAGTACAGGAGTGCTGTATCGATAGAGTTAGTCAACACGCCTGAGTTGTTTATAGCCCGTATGTAAATGTCACAGTTCAAAAGTCATCGAACTTTAAATTACGTCTCGTGATATCTGTTTTCTCGGATGTAACAAGACTGCTCTACCGTTAGTGACTTTTTTAATGACTAAGATGGAATACATCAAGTTGAGCAAGTCTGAACCAGAAAACAAACGATACATTTTTAATGGCTGACGTAGATCGTTGTAATCTAACAATCAACTCAGGCGTATCAAGCAAAGTCGGACACGGAATAAAGGGAACACTTCCGGGACCTTTTTTTTTTCGTTGACGAGAGTAATGATAAAGGTATCAGACAGGCGATTGTGATAGAAACTTTGCACATAACCTTACCTCTTTATGAATACCGTAGACACACAATAACGAAAATTAAGACAGAGTGTACACTAACCTCGAATGTCAGGTCGGCAAACTTGTTGAGTTCGAGTTGGTAGGAGTGTCCGCCTGCATTGTGAGCGGCTACTTCCTGGGCGTTCTGCAGGAAGATTGCAAACCTGCGCTCGAACTCCTTCTCGTCATGGTATGTCTTCCCGTTCTCCTTCACCCACAGGTGAAAATCTTCCCGACTTGCCACTGGTACGGACGTAGTTAGGCCGAAGACGGCGCTAAGACCGACCAAAGCGAGTAAGAAGAGGCGTGTCATTTTGCTTCTACGATGAGTACAACGTAGTTAGAATAGGACGAACCAATAATTGCAAATGAATAGGGGGGTTGTGTAGCTTGTGCTCTCGGAGTTAATGACCCCCGCCCCAAGAGGCGGGCGGCAACCTTAGGGGCGGGTGGCCGTCAGGAGCACGATTTAGTTAGGCTAGGGGTTTGTGAAAATGCCATGGAAATGCATCTGGAGAGGTTTGGATTTGAATAAAGAAAATTCGCAAATAACAAGGCGGAGTGGGGGAATCGAAAAAGTAAACTTTAGGCTAGAGCCATACCTTCGCCAACGTATGTATTTAACATTTAAGACTGTCGTGTTGTAAGGATTCTCATCTGCATAGATCATATCAGTTCATGATATTCTTCACAAAAATAAAGTTTGTAGCATAAAAAGCCGTTAAGAGGTCTACAATCAAACGTGTTTCGTTTTGTTGACACTACCCGCATCTATTGACACTCTATATATAATTAAGATATCACAACCATTTCTCGAGTTCTGTAAAAAAACAAACAAACAAACAAACAAACAAACAAATAAACAAAAAACAAACAAAAGCAAGAAAGCAAACAAAGAAACAAACAAACAAACAAGTCATGTTAATGATTATTCCGATTTGTTGGAAGTGTGTTGTGGTCCACGGTTGCGCCTGCACATGACAATAGCTACAGTACCTTATGCGTAAATCCATAGCCTGGGTCTGGTTCCAAAAGGGCCGAGTGTACTTGTTTTTCACCAAGCGAGAAGACAATTAAAGTTAACGCAGGGAGATGAGGAAAGACTTGAATAAAGTAGTAACCTCACCTACATGTAGCAACATAATAATATAACATGATTTCATAGCTATATAAAGAGTGTTCATTCTTTAGAAGTAATTAACAAGAACTTCATCTACAGGCAAGGCATAATTAATTCTAGCTTTCAAAGAGACAGTTCAATTGTCAGGGGTTGTAAATTAACACTGATGGTAAAAATGGTCAATTTTCAGTCAATAATTCAGTTTTAATCAATATATACGAAACCCCGATCTGGACATGGTCAGGGATTCCCTTGAAATCAACTTAGGTCAAAGTTGAAAGTGACGTAACTTACCTTCGCTCGACCAATCACAGGTCAGCTATCGGGATTTCCCGCCCGCCATTCACAAGTTGTAATTTTGAAAGCTGGATACGACAATTATGTACATTTTTCATCAGTAGTACCCGTCAAACGTCTACAACATGCTTCACGAGGTGCTGCTGGCACTCAGCGGATACCCTGGTAACATATTTGTAGAGAAGGACGGTAGTTTGGAGGTTGGTTTGAATTTATTGTTTTCATTCAAGGAAGGGGGAGGGGGGCGTTATAAGCGAACGGATAAATATCTCAAACTATAGAAATAGCCAAATTATAGGAACAGGTTTGGTTTAATCGGCATATAACTAGTACATCAAGGAACGGAAAGATTTAACGAGATGTCATTCAATATGCTTAGACATCTATGTAATGCATAGAGTACTACCACATTGTGTCGACTATAAACCTTCTCTCCATCTTCTCTCAACATCTGCTTGGAGATTATAACTGAAGCAGTTTATCTGTCACATCTGTTTTTCCAGGTTGTTCCAGATCTACCATTTATCCATCCCAGTGAGCAAGAGATCCTGTCATCACTCTGCAAACTTGGCACTTTTTACATGAAGTTCAAAGCCTTCACAGCAAAGTATGGGGGAGCACCTATTCATCCTGGCACAGAAGAAGGTACGTCTGGTCAAATTAGTTGTGCGAAGATTATTTGTGTCAGGTCATTCAACAAAGCTGATATGTAATGCTGAAGGACAATTACACCGGCGTGTTTGTGGCATGATAAGAGTTAACTTTAAGGCATCTGTCACTAGAAAACCCAATGAGCCTTGCAAATATTGTAGCTGCAGCAGATGCTTGTGTTGCTTGAGCTAAAATTTTGACGTTAGAATGTTCGTTTTCTGTAAGGGAAGCATCATATTCCTACTAGTATAAGGTTTGTGACACATCAGAACAAATGTCATGATCAATAAATGCAAAATGGTGGCTTTTCTAATGAAGGTTTCAATTACTTCTGAGGTGGTGAATCATGTTAAACTTAAATTGTTTTTGATATAAGCTCACACCTCAGACCTCCATGGCCTGTACCTGATAGCATTCTGCAGTGGAGTGGAGAAAGTTCTGGAACCCTACAGACAGGCACTGCTCACCCTGGAGCGGGAGGTAGGGCTGGGGTTAACCTTCAGAATACAATCAATTTTTTCAATCAGTTCAGTCATCAATTTTTATAACAGCCTGCTATAGAGAATCTTAACATCATTACTTTTTTGTTAGATCCTTGAGGATCCTCAGCTGACGGTGTTTCATGTCCAAACTGAACTGATGCAGGTAAGTACCTTTATCTTCAGCAAATATGTATGTACAGGTACATGTACTTGTACATGGCATTATTGGTACCAAAGGATTTCATAGTATATAGTTTGCTACACTACATTACAAAATGTATGTTACTGCAAATTCTAAGGTTAGGCTATGTGCATGAACAGAGAAATTCATGATCACAATGAACAAAACAAAAAATTCCCCAAAAAATACAAATATTTCAATCTCTGATTTGTTACTTGCTCAAAACTCTTCTCCACTGCATTTATGGCCTTTGGTGTCCCCAGTACAAGCTGCTGTTCCCAGCCATAGCATCAGTAATCAGACAAGTGGAGAGCCAGCGAGCACATGGCTGTTACATCCTGGAGATCCTGCACAAGAACTCTTTCTGTGGGATGCCAGAAGTCAGGAATGCCATGGAGATGTAAGTAGGAAAGGAAACTGTACTGAGCTGTCTTTAACTGTCTTGAGTTGCTGTTCTAAGACTGTTGCTGTATACATGTAACTTTGTTACATTCCTATTCACCGTCAAGATTCTTTGGACATACTTTGAATTGTAGTTGAGGATAAACCCATATTTGTAGCAGTTGTGAGTCATGGCCTTAGAAGTTAGTAGATAGTCACAAAGCAAACTCATGTATGATGCCCATTCTTGTATTTTATGTACTCAAATGTTTTAGCTATGTTGAAAAGTATCATAGTTGTTACCAAGGATGAAACTTTCCCTTCTTTCAGAATGCTGTACTATTGTCATGGGGTGCTCTACAAGCAACTGTCAGCCTGGCTGCTTCATGGACTCCTGTTGGACGGATATAATGAGTTCTTCATACACCAAGGAAAGGTATGTACTACATCAAATCCTTTTAGTCCTTACTCATTTCTAATCTCCATGCAGATCCCTTTCGGTGGCAAGACAGTATCCATTAGCCAGAGGAGTTTCCATTCCAGAAATGCAAATGCTTATTGGTTTCTGTTGTCTATCCACAACTCGTAATAGCCACACATGTTTTGTCTGGCATCAGAAACTATGCAGCAACATTTCCAATTGTCATTGGTAACAAGAAGAAAACAAGTGTTCTTTATGAGGTGCATAATATTATCTGCATATCCGGTTCCATTGTGCCTGATATCCTCCTCCAGTTAAGTTTGGCCTACATATTTAAGTTTATATGTTGTTAACATTGCAGGTTTTGGCGGATGCAGCCCGAGCAGGAAGCCAGGGTGATGATGATGACCTGGGGATCGGGGGCTTGTCAGGGAAGCAGCTGAGAGAACTCATGGTAGGCAGAACAGCTGTCCTCAGGTTATCTCTCAGAACAATTCTCTTCTGCAATACAGGGACATTTTTACCTTCGCCAAGAAGGTTATGTTTTCAGGGGCGTTCGTGTATGTGTGTGTGTGTGTGTGTGTGTGTCTGTCTGTCTGTCAACACGATAACTTGAGAAGGTCTTGATGGATTGTCTTGATACTTGGTAGGTGGGTAGGTCTTGATGAGACCTAGAAATGATTAGATTTTGGGCCACCTGGCGGCTTGTCATGGTACTGCAGCAGAACTTCCGGTTTTGATATCTCATGATCCAGACATGCTAGGGTGACGAAATTTAGATGGTAGATAGCTCTTGTGCTGGGGATGACGTGACATGAGTTTGAGCCCCCTAGTTGCTTGCTCTAGAACTGCAGGGGGGTTTAAAGGACAAATGTTTAAAGGGGGATAACTGAAGAACCGATTGATGGATCATCGTGATTTTTGGTATGTAGGTAGCTTGAGCGATGCTTGACATAATGATATTACAGTTATGCAAATATGGATGTAATTTGCATAATTAATGAGGAAATTCTATTTTTCAGCTGTATTCCATAATAGGAAGTTCAAGCTTGTGACATATGTTATTAAGAATGAGAGAAACACAGGCAGATATCGATTATGCAAATGAAAACTTAATTTGCATAATTAATGAGAAAATATTATAATTGCATAGTGGTTACTGCCTGGAATTTTATACTTGGGGTGTTTGAAAGTTAAGTTTAGGTGAACATAATTAAACATAACTTATTCAAATAAGGACCTCATTTGCATAATTTATGAGAAAATGTCATCATGGCATTCTTCGTTAAGATAAGACTGTCTTTTGGTGGAGAATATGATCAACAGATATAATTCATGCAATTGAGGATCCTATTTGCATAATTAGGGGGACTAATCTATAATTTCTTAATCATAAAAGCTAACATCATTTGGCGAAGGTATGAGATCGTGGAACTCTAGTTTTGGCATGCTATGGAGGCTACATGGCAGGAGTAACTCCTGAATTGTGTTTGTTGAATTTACATGTACAGCTGTCTAAAATTCTGCATCATCAGATTAGCAATAAAATACGATTAGTCATTATTAAAATATAGTACATATAGTGTAGTGACATGAAAATACGTTGACATACAAATACACAGCAAATGTAATAAATAGTAAGACATACAGATAGTCTCAGAAGAAGTTGGGCACACAAATGTACTCACCCGAGATTGACTGTATTAAAACGTCCCATAATTTCGACATTAGCATGGTGCAAAATGGCGCAATCACAGGAACACATTAGTACTGCGGTAGCGACAATAACCTAAGTGGGAACATACCTCAATGTCACTTCTAATAACGCTTATAAACCGCGTACGCAGAATGTTCTGCACGGAGACTAACACCCCGTTCATACCAGTCTTATATTTAGCGGTTTCAACCGGTTTTTCAAAAAGCGACGTTTCAAAAATAAAGTTTCAGGTTACATCCACTACCTTTCGTCAGTGACACTGGAGAGTGGTCAGAAAAACCGGTTTGTAAATACGGACTATTGATTTATATGCGTCGGAGTTTGGAGGAGGGCCGGCAGTAATCTCCAAGCAGATCCCTTTCGGTGGCAAAAAGACAGTATCAAATTGGCCAGGCAGTATCCATTAGCCAGAGAAGCTCCGCGGCCACCGACGGGTGGTGGGGGTCAGGACAAAAAGAAACGGCCATATATAAAAATGTAACGATCATTCCCCCACAACCTCTGCTTGGAGAGTAGGCCGGCAGCAAATTCAG